TTTTACTTCAGGCACTTCCTAGAATAACAGTTTAGAAATTAATCAGAAAAACAGTTTTATATCTTAACTCATATTTTCCATCATCAGTAACATCTTTGACCTATAATGCTTAAAATTTTTTTTAAAAAGCAAGGAGACTACAAGCTTGAATACATGAGCACAATTGAAATGATGACAAAACAGCCAATGTTTCTTAATCATGGTTAAACAAGGTCTGAACTCTTTAATTACTCCATGATTGTACATTTCCACATCAAATTCATTTAGAAATGGAGAAACTAGTTATCAGACCAGTTTTACATTTACACCTGTCATAGGCACTTTAATGGACATTTGCTTTGATCCTCAACAAGCATTTGTTAGGTCATGCATTAGTATTAAAAGCAGTTTTTAGGATTAGTCAATATAGTCTAAAAGAACCACTGAAGTGAAAAGAAAACAGTTCCCACCCACATCTGTGCTTTGCTTTGTAACCTCCGTTTGTTCTTGCCACTCCTCCTTTCTTTATAATACCATGGAAAGGCGGTATACAGCCCATTGTTAGCACCATTCTACTCATAAATTAAATCACTAAACTCTCTTGGCTCATTATCTAAAAAGAGTTAGTTCCAGAATATTAGGTTTACTGTGACTATGTAATTTACTGGATTTGTACCTTTCACTAAATAGTTCTGTTGCTTACTATATATTTGTTTGCAAAGTGGTGAGAACAGAAATAATGATTTAAAAAGAAAAGTTAGTAGCACATTCCAAAAGAAATAGGCCATAAGGGTATTGAATGTTAAGCAAAGTGTTGCTTTCCACGGGCAGTTTATACCATGAACAATTTAATTTGTGTGATCAAATATCTGCCAACAAGTGTAGCGGTGAGATGGGATTTGAAGCTTTGCTGTATGTTAATGAGTGTCCTTAATCTACATGTGTGCAGTCAGCCCTGCTCTTTTCTGAGCAGAATTAACTATCAATGCACACAGAGTAAATTCATGAGAAACGTTTAGAAGGGTTAGGATATGATCAACTGTCACTTACTAGAAAGAAGATATATCCCACAAACAGTACCCAGAGCATCCTCTGACTACCTTAAATGATTTCATTTGGAACCATAGGTATAGTTTTACTGATGAAACAAATCCTAGAAACCAGTGGCAGAGCTTGATGTTCAAGATGCCATAGCTAAAACATCAGGAATATTTTCTCTCTTGTTAACTGCAAACTGAAAATAGATCTGCAACTTCCTTCTTGACTGCAGAGAAGCGTAGACAGCTGTCAGGGACATATTCTGTCCTCACCTTGCCCTTTATTGCTTTTCACACATTTCCCAGAGCAACTCAAGCAACTACAGGGGCATTTGAGGTCATGTAATATTGGGTGAATCACTAGAGTCTCTGATAAAAAGATCAATGTCATCGTTATCCAGTGTTGGTATAATAGCAATACCACAAGCCGATGACTTTAGCAAACAAATTCATTCTCCCACAGTTTAGAAAATCTAGAACTCCAAATCCAGGGCATCAGCTTTAAGGGAAGGCTTTCTTTGTCAGCTCTAGAGGAATCTCCTTGTCTTCTCTCACCATCTGCAGGCCCAGCATTCCTTGGAGATCTCCTTGTGTCTTGGCATCAATCTTCTCCTTGCTCTAGGGGATTCTCAGCATAGGGACCCTGGCTCTAAAGGACATGCATGCTCTACTCCTGGCTCTTCTCTGGTAGTTAGGAGGTCACTCCAAGATCTCTGTTTGCTTGCTTAATCTTTTATACCTCAAAAAAGATTGACTCAAGATACAACCTAATCCTATAGATTGTGTCCTGTCTTGTTAACATAACTATCTCTAATGCTACCTCATTAACAGCATGCTGTTGTTAGGTATCCTGGAATTGTCACTGACTCATAGAATCCCAATACACAGTGGAATGAAACATTGCCTGGTCTTTTGCCATCCTCATAATTACTGTTATACTTAAGCCCATTTTTTGCAGTCACTGTGTCAACCCATCGTTCTTGGGGGTCTTCCTCCTTTTCGCTGACTCTCTACTTTATCAAGCATGATGACCTTTTCCAGAGACTTGTTGTTGTAATGTGCCACGGAGTTGGTTCTGACTCATAGTGACCCTGTACAGAGTCCGAGGTTATACATCTTTACGGGAGCAGAAAGCCTCATCTTTCTCCCGCAGAACAGCTGGTAGTTTCGAACTGCTGACCTTGCGGTTCGCAGCCCAATTCGTAACCACTATGCTACCAGAGCTCCTTTTTCCAGAGACTAGTCCCTCCTCATTACATGTCCAAAGTACATGAGATTAAGTCTTGCCATCCTTGCTTCTAAGGAGTCTTCTGGCTGTACTTTTTCCAAGACATATCCGTTTGATCTCTTGACAATCCATGGAACTCTCAGTATTCTTTACCAACACCATAATGCAGATGTATCAATTTTTCTTGGTCTTCCTTATTCATTGTTCACATGTACATGAGACAATTGAAAATACCATTGCTTGCGTCAGTCACACCTGGATCCTTAAAATGACATCTTTGCTCTTTAACACTTTAAAATGGGCTTTTGCAGCACATGTGTCCAGTGCAATATATTGTTTGATTTTTTGACTATTGGTTTCATGGCCATTGATTGTGGATCCAAGTAAAATGAAATCCTTGACATTTCAATCTTTTCTCTATTTATCAGTACTTAAGAACAACATAAGCACAAGTAAATGTTCTAGAATTCCCATTCATCTTACTGTTATCCATCGTTTGTCATGATCCTTAAAGTTGAATGCTTTTGCAAACATCTTTCTAGTATTTTCTGCTTTCAGCCAAGACCCATCTGATGTCAGCAAAGGTATCCCTCATTCTGTGTCCTCTTCTGAATTCAACTTGAATTTCTGGCATCTGCCTGTTGATGCGCTGCTGCAACCATTTTTTAATTGTCTTCAGAAAATTTTTACTTGTGGGTTGTGTTAATAACAGCGTTTGATAATTTCCACATTCTGTTAGGTAACCTTTCTTCGGAATGGTCTCAATCTGCTGACTCATGTGTTTAAACACTGCCCTCTACATGTCAGTCTTACTTCATTCTGATAATACCGCAGCCAGAATCTGGAAGCCTTCCCTAAGTCTAAAAGTCAATTGCTATCATGAAATAGGTCTGAGTTACTTTAGTGCATTAATATTGTTGTTGTTATTATTAGGTGCCATTGAGCATAGAAACCCCAACGTGGCAGAGTAGAACTTCCCATAGGGGTTTTCAAGCTGTCGTCTTTAAGACATCAATCAGATTGCTAGACCTTTCTGCCAGAGAGCTGTGGGGTGGGTTCATATCACCAGGCTTCCAGTTAACAGTCAAACTCTTAGCTATTTGGGTAACCACATTCCTTTTAAATTAAAACTAGTATTCTAATTATTGAAAAAAAAAATTAGAGGTCTGAAACATGTGATTTCTACAATTAATTAAAACAGAGTGTAATGAATGATCTGATCCTTAGGTTTTACTGACTTCTCCCAAGGATCTTTTCACACAGCAAAAAGGAAATTTATCTAACCGTATTTCATGTTACAGCAATTTGAAGCTTAGTAACATCTGAACAACTAAAGGATGGAAAAATTATTTTAAATTAGATGTAGGAACAAATATGCTTTTATGTTATGTGCTCAGATAAAATTTCTAAACATTTTCACTTGCTCCATCCTTGAGGTTATTTAATATCACCGTGTCTTAGATTATTTAATAATCACATTATCTTAGTTTTATAATAATCACAAGGTAAGATAATAGCTCTACAAGTCGCATGTTTGGGGGTCAGAAGAACAGCATTTGAATGTTGATTTCATCATTTATTAGCAGTATTACCTTAAGTTTCACAACCTATACCTTCTGCCCTTTCATCATCATTTCTAAAAAAGGGTTAAGTAACAACTTTTTCTTAGGGTTACTTTGAATATTAACTAAAACAACACTAAGAGCTTTTATTTATTTATTTTCAGTTACTACACTAACTTGATTTTTGTTCTTTTTTTTATCACTATTAGCTAGTGAGCAACAATACTAAATTTAATATTCATGTGGACTCATCTAAAAAATTTAAAAGGCATTAATATGAACTCAAAGGATTTAATGAAATAATTTCAGCATATGGTTTTAAAAATAAGATTATTGCCTTTTCTGTTTCATCTAGCAATTTGATAAGAACAATTTAATACTAATAAATTGAAATCAATGATCAATTCTGTCTTATGCAGTTTGTACAGAAAATTTAAATACTACCTTAAGAAAAATTAGCATTAAAAAGAGTCAAACAGACCACCCGAAGGATAAGTTCATCATTAATAAATGGTTACTGAGTGCCTTCTATGTTTCAAGCAGGATTTAGGAAAATTCCCAGACAGTCCCATTATGTTTTAATGACATGACTACTTAAACTAACAATGGAGTTTGGGGCCTCAGACTAGGGAGACACACAGCAATCTGACATAAAATGAAGCCAGTGCTAGGGAACTTACCTTATCTCCTGCTTCAACCTCACAGAGTTTCTCCTCATTTGCTGGATTGAAGACAGGAAATTTCTTGCCACTCACTGAACTATGCCATTCATTGTTTATGAAGATCTGTAAGATAAAGATAAAATAAATAGAAAGGGATCTAAGTGTGCGATTTTTAAAACGATTCACAAAGCTAGCATTACACAATGGCTAATAAACAAAGAGTCCCTGATAGGTGAAAACGGTTAATGCCCTCAGTTACTAACTGAAAGGCTGGATGTTCTAGTCTACCCAGAGACACCTTGGAAGAAAGCCCTGGTCTTCTGGAAAATCAGCCATTGAGAACCATCTGGAACACAGTCTACTCTGATACACACTGGGTGAACATGAGTAGGAATTGACCTGATGCAATTGGGTTTTATTTTGCTTTGTTTTTAAACAGACTAAAGCATTACAACTTCTCCCCCTTATTCCTCTTCTCTCTAAGATTTATGTTGGTTGTTTAAGACATTTTACTTACGAACACACACACACACACACATTGAAATAAAGTAATGCTTTTAAATTTCTTGAACGTATGAGGTTATTTCAATACTTTAAAATACAGACTGAAGGAAGTAATCTAGAAAAAGACACTTTTATCTGAAAAAGCCATTAAATTTGAGGCAAGAGCAGAAGCGTTGGAGGCTTATGAATCAGTTGCTCCATTTTCCACTTCAGATTCTGAACAGGCTTATTTAGGGCTACGGAATGATTTGGTCTCATAAATGATTATTTCCTGGTCCTTTATTTCACTGCTTGAAAGGTAGCTTTTGGGGAATTTAAAACTAAATTTTCTTAGAATAAATGGCTTTGTTGTTAAGTGCCATTGAGTAGGTTCTGACTCATAGTGACCCTGTGTAGGGTTTTCAAGGACTGGTTGGTGGGTTTGAACCACCCACCTTGCGGTTAGCAGTCTAGTGTTTATCCTACAGTAAATAAATGGCTAGTTACATTTTCATTGACCTTTATAAAGACACAGAATTTCATTTTCCTTTTTTTGCTATGATTGAAAAATGCACGTGTCTTCAGATGAAATCAAGTACTAGATTTTAGTGGTACATTTTAGTACATTTTAGAAGCATACATCTAAAGAAAGAGAGGTCCCAAAAATGTGGAGTTTTATTAAGTGTACACTATAAAAGAATTGTTATTGTTAAGTGCTGTGAAGTTGGTTCCGACTCAGAGCGACCGTGTATAAGGTTTTCAAGGAGTGGCTGGTGAGTTTGGACAGCTGATCTTGTGGTTCAAACCGACCTCATGGTCCAGTACTTTATCACACAGTGCCACACCAGTCTTTTACTTTTGTTTGTTTTTTTTTTTTGCAGATTTATAAATTTATTTGATAAGCAGCTGTTAGTTTTCATTCACATTAATTGCAGGTTTTTGAAACTGGTGACAGGCAATTAGGTTACCAATGTATCGAGCTTGTTTGGCGAATCTTTATCCTCACGGTGTTTTCTGAAAACTGCACACAGACAAGGTATAGTTCCTTCCTGATTCCTTTGGCCCAGACAGCTTTGTTGAGCCTGGTGTTCCCATCTCCTTCATGGAAAATTTATGAATCTCCTTGAGTGCTCGAGGGGCATGAATGTTGATCATGTACTCTCTGGTCATCACTTGGTTGACAGCAGATTGGCCCTTCTTCTCGCCACACTTCTTTGCAGGAGCCATAGAGATGGGACCACTTGGAAAGGAGAGTCTTTCACTTTAAAAGTCTGAATTTCAAGTTTTGAAATAAGTGTTGCCTCAAGGAACTTAACAGAATGCTATCTTCTCATTTACCTTTTTTACTAAGGATATTTGACAAAGTCAAATGAAGAAGCACTCTTTCATGTGGTGATGAAAGTTACGATCTGTTTCTGATAAGGGACAGAGCTTCTCTCTCCTCTCACTCCCTTATTCCTTGTTTAGCCTCCTTTCTCTTGTTATTGAATAATGAGGAGTGGAGTTGAATATTATTTTATTACAACTTTCTGCTGCTGCTATGGGTGCAGTCAAGTCAGTTCTGACCCATAGCGACCCTATATAGGGTTTCCAAGGAGCAGCTGGTGAGCTTGAACCACTGACCTTGCAGTTCAAACCAACTTTGCAGTTCAGCACATTTACCCATAGCAGCACACCAGGACTCCATAGCTTTTGGCTACCTTTTAAAAATTAAAATATGAACTATTCAATTGAATTTTGAATCACGGCTGTCAATATACATAATTTAAAAGGAAAGGTGATATATGCACCAGGTTAATAATACAAATTTTTACTCTGATATCCACTTACTTGATATTTAATGAGACTCTGAGGGAGGATGTATGGAAACACACCCATCCTTGGTTTAGATAAACTGCCACAGTAAATAAAAATCATTTACTTATTAAAGAACTCCCCAGTTTGATCTACTGAAATGATGCAGAATTAGTTTACTTACATTGTACATACTTAAAATAAAGGTATTCTTTTAAATTACCCTATATAATTTTTCACTTAACATTTTATCATGCAGTATCCATAATAAAGTTTCTCATGTTGTAAAATTAGTAAAACTTATATTACTATTTTGTTGTTGTTGTTAAGTGCCGTCGAGTCAGTTCCGACCCACAGCGACCCTGTACAGGGTTTCTGAGGGTGTAAATCCTTACGGGAGTAGAAAGCCTCATCTTTCTCCCGTGGAGCGGCTGGTAGTTTCGAACCGCTGACCTTAAGGTTCGCAGCCCGATTCGTAACCACTACGCTACCAGACATCCTGAAATTTTTGCATGTAATTAATTCTGTTTTATTAACAAGATTATTGAGACAGCCTGACTGAAAAATATTGCTTTGAATACCTATTTCAAACAACATAATTCTCTATTGTGAAATACTTTCTCTATGGTGCAATTTATTACTTTAAAAAATACAGTAATCTTGTTAATGTCTACCTTTGCTCCTACACTGTCAGCTCCATCAAGTCAAAGACTCTTTTGTCTTGTTTTTTTTTTGTTTATCCTCAGCTCACAGTCCCAACCCCTGTGGCTTTAAACATCAGAAAACATTTCTTGAATGTTGCTGTTGTTAGATGCCATGGAGTTGGTACTGATTCATAGCAACCCTATGTACAACAGAACGAAACACTGCCCGGTCCTGGGCCAACCTCACTACCGTTGCCACGCTTGAGCCCACTGATGTTGCTACTTTGCTAATCCATTTAGCTGGGAGTCTTCCTCCTTTCTCTGACCCTCCACCTTACCAAACATGATATGCTTCTCCAGTGACTGGTCCCTCCTGACAATATGTCCGAAGTTTGAGAAACGAAGTTTGACCATCCTGGCCTCCAAGGAGCACTCTGGCTGCACTTCTTCCAACACGGATCTGTTGGTTCTATTGGCAGCCCATGGCACTTTCGATATTCTCCTCCAACACCATACCTCAAAAGCATCAATTCTTCTAAGGTCTTCCTTATTCATTGTTCAGCTTTCACACGCATTTGAGGTTATTGAAAATACCATGGCTTGGGTCAGGCCCACCTTAGTCCTCAAGCTGACATGTTTGCTCTTCAACACTTTAAAAAGATCTTGTGCAGCAGATTGGCCTACTGAATAGATAACTTAAAATAGAATAAAATAACCCATTATCTAGCAGTCATGCATGGATAAAACAAAAAAAGAAACCTCACTGCTATCAAGTCGATTTTGACTCATGGTAATCCTATATAGGGTTTCTGAGACTGTCATCTTTATGGTCACAGATAGCCTCAGTTTTCTCCTGCAGAGTGGCTAGTGGGTTTTAACTACTTACCTTGCAGTTAGCAGCCCAATGCCTATTCCTCAGTACCACTGTTCATCTAGTATAATTAATTATACAATAAAACAGCATTATCCTATACATTCGGAGTAGTTCAAAAGAGGTAATCAGGAATTGACGGGAAAAAATATGTGGGTGTAAATAAAGTAGGGATAGGTGCAAAATTGTCTACATAAAGAGATTAGATGTGTAAAGATATGTACATGGTACTGTTAAGAAACATTTTGTTGGTGTTGTTAAGTGCTGTAGAGTTGGTTCCGACTCATAGCGACCCTGTATAGGGTTTCCAGGGAGTGGCTGGTGAACTTGAACTGCTGACCTTGTGATTCAAACTGACTTTGCAATTCAGCACATTAACCCACATTGCCACACCAGTACTCCTATATAAGAAAGATACGGGATATCAAATAAACCTTGATTCTCTGATAGAGTAACAGAATCCAGATGAAGAGTATAACATTCACCCTATCATCCTTAGAGAAAAATCATCAGTATCTTAGTTCAACTTGAAGACAGTTAGTGGAAATCCAAATAGTAACTTGTTCAAAGTGTCTTCGAGTGAATCAACACCTAGCTGTCAGGAAATACTTTTACAGAATTTGTGCTATTATTATTGAAGAATCTTTTCTCTCATGCATCTCAAATCCTTACCTCTTAGCACTTTCTTCCCACATGACACCTGGGAAATACCTCAATCAATATATTTACAATTGAATTCATTGTCATCTCTAAGGTTCTCCTGTTCTTACCCCAAACTAAAGCTCTAAAATATGTTCATGCACATTTTCTCTCTTGTTCTCTCTTACCACACTTTACTTAGCCTGTTAATTACATAGAACCTCTAACTTACCCTTTTATTCCATATTTTCTATACTATTAAAACTCCCTCCCTGTTCTCCCTGACCTGTGCCTCATTAAAATGTAATCTTTACCACAATCATCTTCCTAAAACAACACTATTTAGATTGTGTCCACATCAGAACATTTATGCCATTTTCCCATGTCAAAGTCTGGATGATTTGTCTCCCACATACTTTTCCAACCTTTTTCTTCTATAAGTTTCTCAGTTTGCCCTTGTCTTAGTGTTATTACATTGTCTCAAACACCAAGGCCTTCTTTGCCCCACACCTTTTTTCCATGCTTTTCCTCAGACTGGACTTTCACAATCTTCTTGTACTCACAATTTAAATGTTACTTAATATGTTATCTTCTTTAGGAGACCTTCACTAGGCACTAGAATAGGATTTAGTCTCTTTTTCCTTTCTTATAACATTTAGGAGTCCTGGTGTGACACTGTAGGATAAGCACTG